TATTATTTATTTACGGCCCTGTTACTAGCTGCGGAAAGACAGCCTTCAGGGCTTGTGTTGCGTGCAGAAGAGGAGCTATAAACTGTTCACAGGATTTCAGGACAGTTGCTAAATCATTAACTGGGGCAGACTGTGAAGTGTCCGAATTTGTGTTGCTGGAAGAGGCAACAGCAGCATAAGTTGTGTTCAAATTTAGAGAAGTAGTTCTCTGCCGACGCTCTCGTAAAAGCTCAATATTTTCTCTGGGGACAAATTTACAGCCTAAGCTATTTGCTGGATGACTTTAGCCACAATTTGCACAGGTCCTGGCACTGTAATCTGTAAGTGGACACAGATTCGTGAGGTGCTCTTGGGCGCATTTCACGCATCGTGGAGGTGCCGTACAATATGACTGGGAGTGATCATATCTCTGACAGCGATGGCACTGACCGATTTGTCCAGAAGTTCGTTGCACCTCCACAGAACGAAATTTACTTAATCTGTATTCCGAATGGTGCTTAACTTGGTTAGAGTATTGCCAAAAGAGTTATAATTTAGAGAGCCAGAGGGGGGTCTTTTCTGTTTAGGTACTTGAGCCGGAGTATAGTTTATTTATTATTATTTATTTACGGTCCTGTTACTGGCTGCGGAAAGACAGCCTTCAGGGCTTGTGTTGCGTGCAGAAGAGGAGCTATAAACTGTTCACAGGATTTCAGGACAGTTGCTAAATCATTAACTGGGGCAGACTGTGAAGTCTCCGAATTTGTGTTGCTGGAAGAGACAACAGCAGCATAAGTTGTGTTCAAATTTAGAGTAGTAGTTCTCTGCTGTCGCTCTCGTAAAAGTTCAATATTTTCTCTGGGGACAAATTTACAGCTTAAGCTATTTGCTGGATGACTTTATGCCACAATTTGCACAGGTCCTAGCACTGTAATCTGTAAGTGGACAGAGATTCGTGAGGTGCTCTTGGGCGCACTTCACGCATCGTGGAGGTGCCGTACAATATGACTGGGAGTGATCATATCTCTGACAGCGATCGCACTGACCGAAGTTCGTTGCACCTCCACAGAGATAGCCAAGTCCATGAGTTCACGCTCATTGAACTTTGCTACCTTTGGCGGTACCACAACTATACGAGGCATGGGTCTCCCGCCATTCTTTTTTAAGCGAATTATAAGAAGAGGGTTCTATCCGCTTGATATAAGCTCTGATTTCACTTCACATTCCCCCGCAGTTTCTTTCTTTAGGGAGAGGTAAAGTATGGTGTGCTATTTCTTTTTCCTCTGTTTTAGGGGTAATTCTAATTCCGACATCGATAACCACTGATTTTTAAAATTTAATACAGAGAAAAACAGATGATTGAGATAGAAACTTCCACTTTACTGGTTGGCGCAGTACTATCGGCGTGACCCGCTTTGAAGGAGGTAGTCTCGAAGGTGTACGGCTCGAACCTGGATGGCTTGGTGCTGAATTTGTATTTTGACTAGAGTCGAGGTTAGAGTTAGAGTGGTAATTTTTTGTTTGTTTGAGGCAAGATGGATGATGATGAAGTAAGAAGCTGGCTGGGCTTACTTGGCGGTGGTGGAAAATCGCTGGAGCTCTTGAATCGGCGTTTTTTCGATACTTGAGCTATCTTCTTGCATGTTTGCTATTTCCATTTTGTTAACTGTGGAACTTTCGTTGTCGCTGTCATATTGACGTTTCTTTGGCGATTCACTCTTCTTCAGTAATTTATTAATTTGCCTCTCGTCTATTTGCAATAACATCTTTTCAATAAGCTTCATCTGCGCTGCTATTGTTTCCTGCTGCTCTTTATTGTTCTCCAACAGCTGACATCCTTGTCGGGTGGGGCACCTTGACTCTCGCCAATATTGGGGCAGCTAGGAGTTGCATCCTGCTGACCCCCTTCTTGCGAGTTAATTCTCAGAGCAAAAATTCTGTCAACTTGACAAATACCCTACAGAGGATACTCTTTTTTCAGTTCACCGGGTGGGTGCTTGAAATTAACTTCCACACTTCACAATATTTAACTTGAAAAAAAATAATTTCTTAAATGGAATGCCCAGTCTATTTGAATACATCGGCGATCAGTGATAATGTCGCACTGCTGAGCTGCTCCCCCGCGCTCTTTTGATTTGGCATCTCTATACCACATGCAGTTTAAGGAAGCTGTATGAATATGTATAATATTAAACATGTTCATTATTTCCGCTATAAGTTATAAATAAAATAATTCAAATATTTTTTTTTCAAATCTTCATCATCACTGATGTCGGAAATACTACTAACAATGTGACATAGAACACGAATTGAAAAAATGCATCTGTCATCATATAATTTCTCAATAAACACCTCGCCGCCCTCATTTCAAAAACCTTCATCGGTTGGGATGGGTGAGGATGTGTTTTATTCATGACTTTCCCTTCCTATAATAGTAGCGCCCTTCCAACTTAATGTTTTGCCAACATTAATCTTCACCGACATTGTTCCGCTTCTGCTATACTATAACATATGGTCCAGTCACGGTTTTTCTCTGTTTTTTGCACGAAACTGAGATCTTTGATTTTCGTGATTGATTTTTGCGTTTTGCTAATGTTTTTAGTTCCAATGTTATGTCTTTCCCAAAGATCTTAGGAATATTTAAAGAATGGTGCCACGAATCGCACATGAAATTGAGAGAAATCCTGTTTCATAATGTTAAAAACATTACCGAGAGTGGAAAGTGCCAAGAACAGATCTAAGGATAAGATAGAATGGATGAATGGAGAAATAACGTTCCTGCCTCAGTATCTCCTATGCTTCACTGAAGATTCCTTTTCCAAGGAAACCGGCTCCAGCGGTGAGGAAGTATACCTGGGAAGGCAAAGAACACATAACGATCTTCCATGGGGGTTCTCGCCGGCCACTGCAGACTAAACAGCCACTGCTGGAAGGAGGACGAGACGTTTCATTTTTTGGGCAATTGTCCCGTGCACTGCAGTCTAAGGGCTGAGATATACGATGCTATGGAGCTTGATGGTGAAATTGCTTACTCAGCGGAATGGTTGGATATCCTGACCTTAATTAGGGCATCAGGAAGGTTCGTTAGATAGAACAAGCATTTGGAGTAGAGTGTTGATACACTCGAGGTCGGCAAAAAGGGCTAAAGATGACCTACTTTCCTGGTTTCGCCTCCCCAACACTATTACTGCTTACTGTGCTCTCAAAATATAGAACTCAAAGATGAAAAGTACTTTGGCCACTTTTAGAATATCCTATGGGGGTCCCCTATGGAGATACAGGCCAATATCTTTAGCCTCCTTATATATGCTACTGGCATTAGGTTTTTCTTCAGTAAGTTTTGAACGACACTGTATAATTCAACAGAATTTTATAGTACAGTAACTAAAGGGGGGGCTCACATGACGATGTTTGTGGAAGCACTTAACTAAGATCGACAGGGACGGACTAGCCTCAACCCAATATTGCCAATATTTTTACAACTGATCTGTCTGAACTTTACGCTGAAAAAAATGAAATCACGTTTGACATCGGTACAATTAGCCCTTTTTGAGAAAAATACTTTCGTTTCAGTACAAGTCTATCAATTTTGGTCTTGGATTCAATATGCATGTAGTTATTCTGCTATTTTAGAAAATTCTCATAATAGAATCGTAATCTACGACTCGAAAAACAGCAAGATATAAACTTCCAAATTGGTTTAATTAAATTTTGATTTTTGTTGACTTTTTGGTGATAGGCTGCTGTGCTGTAAGCCGATGCAACTGTTGTGAAACTAGAGATCAACCAATATTACAGGGTTTTTGCCGATACCGATAATCGGGCGATACCGATATCGATTGTGAACACGTTGGCCAGTGCGCCAACCATAACAGGTCTATAAAGTCCTATTGCAGAAAACCAGTGGCATTTGAATATCCACATATAGGCCAGTGGCGGCTCGTGCCAATTCAGTGAGGTAGTGCCAGAATGGAAGCCATAATTTTGAATCGATTCAAAATTGTAAAGAATAACTTATAACTTACCCCTGATAGTTAGTGGTCAAAGTTCTTGAGGTTCAATAAATCTATATGTCCAAAAAAAAATCAAAAATAAAACTATTTACACACGCGCACCAAATTATAAAACAAATGTGGAGAAGTACCTATAACTTCAAAGTTTTCTATACATGAAGTCCATTCTCCTTTCTTTTTTGGTAGCAAAGTTTTCGATTACCTTATTATTAAAATTTTCAATGCCACTAACAAAATGTTTTTCTGCAGACAGCATTCCTAAAGCACTAAGCCTTTCTTCCTTCATTGTGTTTCTGAGGAAAGTTTTAATCCGTTTCAGCATTGAAAAAGAGCGTTCTGCTTCAGATGTTGACATCGGTATAGTGATTAAAATACTTAAGAGCTTAAGAGTTTCTTGAAACGTACAATTTAATCCTTCCTCGTTCAATGAAATGGATAGTGGAACAGCTCCAGAAGTAGTACTCAATTCTTCTCTCTGATATAATACTTGTAACTCAGTTTTAAGCCTGTTTTTGTCTAAAAACGAAAATTGTGTGCATGTGTCATTTAAATGTGCTTCAGGAAACTGATGTTTATAAACAGAAAACTTTTCAGACACAAATAAATTAGAAGCAACTAAATGTCCAGAAAAGTTAAATCTTGTTCTTATTTGCGATAATACTGCATCGCATATTTCTAACGCTTCCCGTTTTTTGCTGCCTTCTTCAACTTGCCTTTTTTTTCTTGCCGGATCATCAGTTTCTCTCTGCACTCGTTCAATCTCGTCAATAATGCTATCCATTTGTTCTCGTATAGTTTGAATTGCTGCTTCAAAATTCTCTAAATCATTTTTGACCTTAACAGAATCGGTGCATACTTTTTGTAATTGGTTAAAGACAATTTCAACATGTGGCATTATTTTATGGAATATACTTAGCCAAAATACAAAATTTGTATCTTGCAGCTTTAATTTGTACCCACTGGCTTGATTAATCGACGAAGAATCGCGTGAATTACTTTCTATATTGTCTATAACTTCAGGTCTTTCCTATTTTCATAAACTGTATGAACACCTCGTGACTGAAAATTCCAACGTGTTTGGGAAGATCTTGGCAATCTGCAATTAACTATTTCATCCAAAATTTTTGTTCTTTGAGGAGACGTCGAAAAAAAAGAGCACAATCCAGATAAATTATGGAAAAATATTCTAGCCTGCTTATTGACAGAGCATGCGCTTGTCATAATTAGATTTAACTGGTGTGCATAGCAATGAACATAATTTGCAAGTGGATAAGTTTCCTTAATAATTTTTTGAACGTCATTCAATTCACCACTCATAACAGACGCACCATCATAGCTTTGAGCTATTAATTTGTTTGGATTTTGATCTAGTAATGGATTTACAACATTTAAAACGCATGCAGCGATTGATTTGGCATCGTGTCCGTCGGGGACGTAAAATCTCCAAAATCTCTCAACTGGTTGTCCTTTACACAAATATCTGAAAATAATAACTAACTGAAATTCACAGGCTACGTCAGTCGTTTCATCGGCAATTACTGCAACAAAAGGAGAATTTGCAATCTCCTTCTTAACTTCTTCATGATAAACATCTAGCATGCACTCAAGAAGCTCGTTTTGAGTTGTTTTTGAGGTACCCTTGAAAAGTTTGGCACTTTGAATATGGACTTTCAATTCGTTGTCTAATTCGGCGCTAAAATTCACCAGCTCCTTAAATATGCCTCTGTTTTCCGAATTTTCCTTTTCATCGTGACCCCTTAAGGCTAACTCAAATGCTCCACAAAACCTTATACAATTAATAATTTTATTCAATACATATCGATTCTTATCCACTTGATTATTATGTTTAATTAGATCATTGCGATAAGCCGAATTGAGTTGAGTCCTTATATTTAATTTACCAAGAATAGAAAAGCTAAAAACATTATTCATATGGACTTTAGATTTTTCGTGGGTCTTCATTTTATCCCATATATGTATAAGATCGTCTGTACCTTTTTTTGACCAAGTCTCGTCACCTCCAAATAGAACACATACAAAACAAAATAGTTTATTCGTTTCTTCACAACCACATATCCAGCTGATTTTATCGTACACATTTTTATTAAATTTGCGACAGCGCGATTTTTGTCCGCTACCACTTTGTTTCTCAATTTTTAAATCGGGTATTGGCCGTCCTAATTCTTTAATTTGCAGTTTTTGATCCAGCGAAAAACCACTAAATGAGTTTTTTAATATCCCGATTTTATTCATTTTCACTAGTTTTAATAAAACAGTAAAAAATATGATCACAAAACAGAGCAGTTCATTAACACTAGACGTACTAAAACAAAAAAGGTATTTTTCACTTTTCAGGTAAAAAAAGACCGAAATCAGCACTAGACGTAATCATAACGAAACGAGCGACCGAACAAAAACACCGCCGATATCACTTGATAACGAATTACGACTGATGATGTGCCTGGCACAAATTATACTTGTCTTTCGCTATTCACCTCATATAAAAATGTGTAGGGTAGCGTTATCTCTGCCGCTCGTATGCGATGCTAGTAAAATTTCTCTCTTTTTATTTGGGCCGGCCCAAAATTGGCACAAGTTGATGACGTCAAGGTCAAGGCATGCTTTCCGTCTCGCGTGGTTCGGGTGCTTGCGGTGTTGTCACGTTGTCAGTGTTGTCACTTCATATAATTTATACCAAAAAAATGAAAAAGCAGAAAATAAAGTAAAACATTGAAGATTGAAAAAAATATTCTTTTTGAAGAAGACAAGGTAGTGCCATGGCACCGTGGCACTACCTCACGAGCCACCACTGATATAGGCAACCATTTCATCACGACAAAAATGCATTTGTGGTGATAACTGCGTCATAGATTGGAAACACAGCACTGATCTGCGTGAACCGATTCGAATTTACGAATATTTACTGGAGGTCCATGATCACCCTATACATTTTAACTTATACGATTTTTGCGGTGCATAGTTCTTTATCTATCGTAGTCTGAAAGCAGAAGCTAATTTGACTGGATCATCTATTTGTGATATAGGTGCCACATCTTACCTCAACCGTGTTTCACATCTAGAATTATTTTTCTATAGATATTTATGAAGTTATTTCTTGGAAGTACGAGGCTTTAATTTCATTCGTTCGGCGCGGGCGGGAGGGTGGCTGGCTAGCTGCGGCAGCTTCACCTTCAGCACCGTTTTCATGAATGATTTATGTCTTGCGGTTGATTAGGTTGCTGCTTTCATTCTCCTGACGAAGGCCAAAAAATATTGTGCGTGGGGTGTGGTGAGCTTTAACTTGCTATTTCTCCAGCTAATACAGCTTGATTTAATGTAGGCAATTTCAGTGGATTAGAAGGGGTTGAACAAATCTGATAGAAGCTGATAAATTTACCTTACTTCTTTGTAAGTTGTGTGTCATGGTATATTGGTATTAGAGACAACAGTTTTTCTCAGATAAAGGATCATTCTCCTAAAATATAGTTTTTGGACCATAACAAAGACACGTATGGGACGACAGTTTTCAAGAAAAGTTTGCTCTGAAATGTCTATCCGATTTTGATGTCTGATGTAATTATAATGAAGTAGGTAAACAAGTCATGGGTTGCTATCATCAATCAACATCAACTTGATTTAATAATTAAGTCCAAAATGTCCTACAAACTTTAAATACCCAATAATATCTAAAGCTTAGTTGGGTGGCTACCCAAAACTGAAATTCTGAACTTGTTCAGAAATAATAATAATACGAAGCCTTTAATTGCTCAACAGTTTAACAGAATTAACAGAGCAATCTATTGTAAAAAGAAAGCGAAATAACCATGAGGTATTTTGTTAAAAAGCAATTACACATTTCATAAATCAATACAAAAAAAACTAACAGAAAGGGTGGTAAGAAAATACAAAATTAGTACGCTATTTGTACTTCAATTCGCCTGATTGCTTACGCCGCACTTCTGAGGATTGAAAGCCAAATCTAATGAGGGTGTTATATTCTATACCTCCTGTACGATATAAGTCATCAACCTTGAAACACAGTTTTTTTTTAAAATCTTATCAGCAGCATTGCTTGTACATCGGACTCCATATTCGAGTTCAGACCTAACCAAACTAAAGTATAACGTCTATAAACTACAAGCATTACCATATTTACAATCCACAGGTTTGTTTTGAAAGCGCGTGTAATAGTTTGATTAATATGTCGATTGAAAGTTAGTGTTTGATCGAAATATATGCCTAAATCTTTAACAGTTTCGGTACGCTTAAGAACACGTTCATCCATTGTATAACTAACCGTTAGTTTTCCTATAAAAAGTTATTGCTCTACATTTACTCAGGTACATTAAGACGGAGTTGATTCTTGACGCACCAGCTTTGTAGTAAATTTATCTTAGATTGAATAAATATACAGTTCTCCAAATAGGAGAAACATGAATAAAATTTCAGGTAAGTCCAAAGATTCATACAGATCATTAACGAATGATATGAATAAAAATGGTCCCAAATTCGATCCTTGTGGACAACACTGGTTGAGATATGAGCATGTGATGTGTAGTCATTATAAGAAACATACCGTTTCCTTTCAAATAGATATGACGTTGAAAGCGCTACGTAAGTGTTCTTGAAGCCCAGGTATGTAAGCTTTTGAATAAAAATACTGTGACCTTATCAAAGGCATTGGGAAATCGATGTAAATCACATCCACCTGTTCTCTGTTGTCCTATATGTTGCAGAAATATTGGCTAAACGTCATCAAATTCGTTAAGGTTGAACGCTGCCTCATGAAACCATGTTGATTGATGGAAATTTAGTTTTTCGTTGACAAGTGCTTGTTCAATACGATCTCCAAGAGCTTTGCAAGATTACTGAGTATAGATATAGCCCTAAGATTAAGTTAAAGGATGAACTAGTTGACTGATACAGTCATACAGAGAATAAAACTATAGCCTGACACCCATTTATAGGGCAATAATAGACAGTGAAAACGGGAAAACCTCATGTTTTAGCACTTAACAGGGTTAATGGACAGGTGGAAAGCGCACGAGGCAGAACCGGAATATCTTGTCGAAAGCTAGGCCGCCGTTTTAGGGTCTCGTACGAAACCATGCAGAGGATTTGTTTATTTAATCTACGTTTATGACAAATACAAGCAATACAACCCAACAAATTTATATAAAATACGGTAAAAAAAATAAATTTATAATAAATTACAGCGTGTTTTCAATGAATTTAGTTTTGAGCGATCCGTACCTATATGCTATACAGCGATTGTCCGGAAAGTAATAGGACTTATTTTCTTTCGCCATGACTGTACTTCGGAGCGTGCGCGCACCGACTGGATTCGATAGAGGGCGTTCCTAGCTAACCAATGAGCGGCTGGTCAGTTGTCTCCGAGCACTTGGAGAGTCAGGACAGGAATATTCGCGCGACGTGTTTCTGAGAGTGGTGCAAGCCGAAAATGCAGCGTTCGTTAGAGCAGAGGTACCCGATTAAATTCTGTGTGAAACTCGGTAAATCTTATCCAGGTGTTGCTTTAGCAAGAAGTGGTGTGTTTCGGTGGCACCAGGCCTTTTTGGAGGGCCGGGAAGAGGTCGCTGATGAAGACCCTGCTGGAAGACCTTCGACTTCGACAAACACCGATAATGTGACTCGTGTGCGCAAATTTTTGAACTCAGACCGTCGACTAAGTATTCGTTTAATTGCTCAGATGTTAAATTTACCAAAATCTGTGGTTCATGACATTGTGACACAGCATTTGAACATGCGCAAGGTGTGCGCGAAGATGGTCCCAAAAGTGCTCACTGACGACCAGAAATTGCGGCGAGTGGAAGTGTGCCAAGAAAATTTGAACATGTGAATTTTTGAATACCGTAATCACAGGTGAACCGTCGTGGATCTTTGAGTATGATCCCGAGACAAAGAGGCAATCTTCCGAGTGGCACACGACGGCGTCTCCTCGCCCAAAAAAGGGAAGAATGAGCAAATCCAAAGTGAAAACGATGCTCATTGTCTTTTTTGACATCAAAGGCATCGTCCACCATGAATTTGTTCCTCCTGGACAAACCGTCTACGCCAAGTTTTACCTGGAAGTGCTCAGGAGACTCAAACGAAGGGTCAGTCGGGTCTGACAAGACATCGCAGCCGACTTGAAGTTGCACCACGACAACGCCCCGGCTCACACCGCCTTTCTTGTGAACAGCTACCTGACCAAGGCCGGCATCCCAACGCTTCCGCAGCCGCCTTACAACCCAGATGTGCCCCTCGGACTTTTTTTTTGTTTCCTCGCCTGAAAAGGCCGATCAAAGGCAAGCATTTTGAGACGACGGAGGGGATCCAAGCAGCAAGCACCGCGGCTCTCAAGGCTATTCCGGAGAATGCCTTCCGTGACGCCTTCAATGCTTGGAAATCGCGCTGGCAGCGCTGCATCGACGCAGAAGGATCCTATTTTGAAAGTTTTTAAATAATTGTAAGGATTGGCTCAATAATTTTTTTTAAATCGACTCAGTCCTATTACTTTCCGGACAAACCCTGTATTGCATTAAATTTCAAGTGTCTAAAGGGTTATTAGGACTTTTTCTAAAATTTTCAAAATTACTGCAATTACTGTATTAACACTCTGTATATGGTCTAGGAAGGTTGAAACATAACTAATTAAAGAAAAAACGTTATTTTACCTATAGCCAATTTTGTTCCATCTAAGGACTTTGTGTTAATATGAGCACTAACACGCATTAGTTTAACAGCAGGTAGTGTCCAGGTGCTATTATCCCCTTTCTCCTCCTGGCTCGCGCTCACCTCGTGGATAATAAAGGGGGGTTGTTGAGGAGGCCAGTCTGCCGCCGTCGGTATCCCCTTCCACCCCCCACCTTCTATTCTGCCCGTCTCTGCCGGGACGCAGAATCTTATTAAATTGCCCGGGCGTCATATCA